TTACTGATCGCTTTTATAGTACTTCCTGTCACTTCATGGCACGCAGTTCAACTAGTGTTGAAGAGTCCTACGCACCCCTTTCCAAAGAAGGACACCTTGCCTGGACACCCCTCAAATTACATTTAAGAATTCACATGCACCTGTGATTGCGCACTCTGTATTTTCGGTCGGTTTCTTTACCGGATTAGACTCAGCCAAGGTCAATGGTAGCGCAAGAAGATACTCGGGTTAATTGAGGTACTTCGTGTGGTTCCGTAATAATAACACATTAGCATTAGTATGACACGATGCAGTCAGTAAAGGTGTAGGACCAGCTTTCCCAGCTGACCGCACACAACCTAACTGAGGTGGCGCGCCACCTCCTCCTGGCTCACACCCTCTTTGAAATGATCCAGTCCAAGATCTCGCCACCGAATGAGAAGCCAGTCGACCGACTGATCCGTATGCAACGCTTAAAGGGTATCTTTGTGCCTGAATTAGTCCAGTTCCTCACCCCACTCTGGATCATTGAGAAGAGATCCCCTGATTCCCCCCGCTTACTGTACTTTGACAAGCCCATGTGTTATGTTGAGGAGCGAGTTCCATTGTCTCTGACCGTCTGGGTTTGTCTTCTGCCTGCTCTTGCGCAGACTCCTTCAATGTGCCTCTGTTTGTTCGCATTAGCATGACATAACGCGGTTTACTTATTGCTAAAATAGCTGTAGTCTGCACCAATAGATTCGTGACCAAACTGGTTCAAATGCCTGATTCCTGCAGTTCTCTCTTCGCCGATGTCTGGCCATGTCTAAGCCATCGACGGCGTCCGCCCCCGATCATTGATCCATGTCGGAACAAATAAAAATTGGCGAAAGCAAAAAAAACGGGAATAGAGAGCCCCTTATCAAGGGAGTCATGCGCTACTTCCCAGGGGGATTGGGGCTACTGTTAAAGTTCCGGTTAGAACCAAATTTAGGGATATGTACGAATCCTGTAATTTTGCGCTAGGCCACATTCATTACCGGGGGCGCGGGGCAGTTCCTATTACCCTATCTTACCGTCAAATGGGATCACATAGAAGGGTGTGGAGGATGCACTGCGTGTACGTAAGGTCCAAAAAACCTCACAGAGGCCTGCTGCCCTTTCAATAAGGCTATAATTCTGCATGCCATCTGTGACGCCCAATTTTATCTCGCATCGGACTGGGAGAACTATTCCTGGAGCAGACCCCCAGACGCCTCGATTCATCGTTTTCTTACTTCTGCCAAGTTAACATTCTTGCTCACCTGCCTCACTGCTGGTCCCTTACAGTCTGCTTACTAACTGTTAGCTTATGGAAATTTGGCACTGACAATGTCTGGTAGACATTTAACCTCACATAGTATTGACTGAACTTTCCAGGCATTTAAGTGTCTCAACTTCAAACGACATTAGCATGCAAAAATCTCTAGCTGATGCAAGTACCTACTGGTACTTGGTGCAGCTGTGATCATGCCAATTTAGCCGACCTAGATAGTGTCGTGAAGTTTACCTGGACTCACGGGGGTATCTGCGGTGGCGGATCTAGGTAACTCGACGCGTCCTGTCCTCCGGCGACGGGGACCGAATACACAAGGCCCAAGAATCAATTCCATGTCCTGGCGAACTGTGCCGACCCACGTTTTGAGTTGTTCTCCTCGTTGATGCCTCCAGATGAG